CCCCCCCCCCCCCCTTCTATATTTACATTTAATGCTATAGAGCTAAGTGCATTCCTCTGCCTGCCCTCAGTCTGCAGCCCCTGTGAGACAAGACTGAATTCACAATCCTTGGATAGTTGTGTCTCTTTTACATCACAGAACATTTCTGCTCAGCAGCCTGCTTCATTTCGGTGAAGGTGGCTTGTGCCTTTTCTTTGATCGCATCCATGTCCATATTCTGGATGTTCTGCAGCTGTCCCAGGATAGAGTCCTTTTCCTCTTCCTCCACCTGATCTTCTGCCACCATCTTCTGAAGGTCCTCTGGCAAACCCACATCATCTCCAGCCATCTGTATTTGATTCTCATCCAATTCACTCTGATACAAAAAGCAGAAAATAAAAACAGTACCTGACAGTATTTCTGCTATCCCAGGATCTACCAATGAGTCTCTTTTTTTTTGTTTGTTTGATTGATTGGTTGGTTGGTTTAGGGAGAACCGAAACATATGCACAGATTTTTCAGTCAAAGTTTTTAGATGCAACTTGTGAATTCAGGGCCTCAATCAGCCCCCATACAGGTGCTAAGATTTTTCAGACAATTATGTCAACTGTATTTCTTTGAAGGATTTCAGTAGTGTCAAAACTGAAGCCCTCAGTGTCACTTGCCACTTTAGAAATCTGTGCCATACGTGTTTGGTAACATGCTGATACTGCAGGAAATCCACCACAAGTTCTTTGCATCCACCAAAGACATGCTGCAATATACTGCCTAGGCTGTCATCTGTTGTGCGATTTGGTTGATGAAGCAATAGCTTTAGAAAAACTGTGTGGCTACCATTCCCCTATTCATTTGGTGGTGGGTATTTTTAGATATCAGCACTAATTTTCTGAATTCTTTCTGAAGAAAGATGCTTTAAACTTAGGAAAGAATTACTGGAAGACAGGTCTCCATCTTCCCCAAACCATGTGTAAACTATATCTAGGTCTTCAGTTGGCATCTCTGAGTTGTGATGAAGAGCAGGGGCTGCCTGGTGCATAATCAGAGCAGTGTTGCAGTGCTGGTTAAGTGGGGTAATAGGAGGACTTAGACAACAAAAGAGAGGATGGAGGTTGGGTGTGAGTCTGAGAAAGCTAAAGGAGACAGGAGGAGGAACTGGTTAAGCAATTAAAAGGGCTGAGATGCCATAAGCGCTACACACACTTGCTTCCTGCCTGCCCGCTGAAACGCTCTATCAGTTGGGTTATGTCGATTTTTCAAACAATAGCAATTTTGTTCACATTTTGTGGTGGATTCTGATGGATCCAGAGCTCAGAAGAACAGGATATTTTGACACAGTTCACACATCAAAGATAAGCATTAATGCCTCATTACATCTCCAAAATGAAGCATGACAGCAGCAATGGCCTGATATGAATAAGCAGCAATGCTGTCAGCAGGAGGTGTTTTTGAGAGTGAGAGGGGTCTTGGGTTTGCATGAATGAATGAATGGAAGGGCAGATATGAGCAATGCCTGTGTAGTTTCAGGCCTTAGCAAGGACAGGCAGACTGGGATTCTTGACTGCATAGCCACTATTTACTGTTACATGTATTTACGCAGCTTTATGTTTGCAATAACTGTACTTCCCCGTAACCTGATTTCTCCCCATATCTCTTATGAAAACATGGAGAGGTGTATCATGATCGTTACTACTATGTGACTAAAATGGGTGAAGATGTCTCTTGACCCCTTTGGGTAAGGGTTGCTGCTATCAGACCTGTGGAAGTTGGAAACAATATCCCAATCAGCAGAAATATTCTTTATTGATTGAACAGGAAAAAAAAATGTGTTAAGCTTTTAATCAGCAAGTGCTGGCTATTGGAGGAGTTAGCCCTTTTGAAATGCTCACAAGTAGCAATAGAGGATGATAAGAAAAAGTCCCCCTAAGCAGACGAACACACACGTTCTTTTCTTCAGCACTTTTTAGAATTTAAGACATCATCACTGCACAGTACTTATATATTATGTGGAGAGATGTCCATACAGCACACACAAAGGCCACTTTGCAATGTGAACAACTGTTTGGCATGTTCTTGCACCAAAGCCCCCGTCTTACTGAAGTCTATGGGACACACAACACAATTTGGGCATTCAAAGTGTTCTCTGACCAAAGAACATATTCAGATGTAGCCTAAAGCAGTACAATTCTGCCCAAGTTACCTGCCTCTACCCACTTGGCATTTAGCCTGTCCTTGAATAGACCTAGTATGGGCTTCAACAGGGTAGGGTCGCTCATCAACAAGCCAAGAAGCACATAAGATGTGTTCGGCCTCCTCTTTCTTCTAAAATTTGAAAGATCTGGTTGTTACTTTGATTTGAAATGGAAATGTAGCATTAAGTTTCTGATTTTACCTGTTCGGATTTTTTTTTTAAAGTCTGGTGGAAGTAAGTTAAAGCTTGTTTTCTCACAAGGAGAGACCAGAAGATTTTCCCACAGAATGTTCTTAAAGTCAGGCTCATGCTGCAAGTGTCCAAATACACAGTGAGTCTGCAGCTCCAAGCACTCACTTCTGAAAGTCCGGGTCTGAAATGTGTTGCCGGAAATGCATCACATCTGTTAGTTTCAGACAGCAGCTTGCAATCAGACTGCGAGCAGGGTGTGCAGATCCCTACCGTGGGATGCACACATGGGGACTGTTACTTGCACAAAGCCAGACATGGCCCTGACAGTGACAGAGGCACTAACCTGCATCAGAACACTCAGCTTGAACTACAGAGAGCACCCAAAATAGGCAGACCTCATGGACAGGACAGCTGGGGCCAGGGGGTCTAACAAACCCATAGAGAAAGCCCCTCTAGAGCCTGGCAAACCTGCACTGGACTGGATGGCCTCTCTCCTGATGACTTTAATCTCCATAGTCCCCAGGTCTCTGCAAGTGTTCAGCCACCCTTTTAGGATCTCTGAGAACACAGAAGCAACATCTATTCTAGTAAATTAAATATGCCTGGCACTGGTCTCTTGCCCCAAGGCCAGCTGGCCTGGAACAACTCACTGTGATGCTATTGAACTCTCTCACCCTACCAAACAGGGTGGTCCCATCTAACTGCCTACTGGGAATGCCTGTCCTAACTCCCAAACCGGCCCTGGGAACTGCTTGGGAGAGTGCCCAGGCCAAAACTGGGTCAGACACTATTCTGACAATTCAACAGTATAGGCAACGGACTCCTAGTGCCTAGTAATATTCTTTGACCCTGATCATGCATCTGATATAGTCAGACTCAGATCCGTTTTGTTACGGGTACAATATAATACAGAGTTCTTCATACCTACATGATTCACAGGTGTGAGCAGAAAGCAGTCTAAACATCTGTTTACATGAAGTCTGATCGTAAACAAAAGAGATCAAAGCTCACAGACTAATCCACAGCAGAGCCAAACTGTTTTCCAGCATCACTGTGTGATGTACTGCTTTCTTTATGTCTAACTTATCCTGTCATAAAATTTACCTGTGCCTATGCGCAGAGATCTTTAGGTACGTGAATCCAGACCTCATCCTGTGATTCATCACCTATAATGCACCAGTTACATATAAAATTGGAGTTCATCTTGCCTTGACCTGCAAGTGGGATTTTTTGGTAAGAAATGCAGCAGCCCCATACTGGCCTATGCCATCGGAGGGCTGCAGGTACCTCACAAGTAGGCGAGGAGCCACGGGTTGGAACCACCAGCCTTCTCCCCCGCAAACACCCTCTTGTGCC